TAGTATAAGCTAAAGGGCCAATTCGTTAATAAAAAAGCTACCTTACAAGTTTTACAAACCACAAAACTACGAAAATTATCTGAGGAAACAAATTTGTTTGTATTGAAGAGTATTGAGTATAAAACTATTGCTACCAACTTGTTTGTAAATTGTCCACTAGGCAGCGCCGTTTTCCGTTGTATGCACGGTGTCTATTTGTAAGAGGGGTTCGTATAAAACGTAGACTATTCATAATAATTAACCAAAAATATGCTTTCCTTTATTACATTTATTTTTATTGACAAAGAAACGGTCATCGCAACACGTATCTCGAGAGTCGAGACTGACTACTTGAGAGAACAGTATATCTGTACGCAGGTCGTCTGGCCGATCGGCATACACACACACACACACACAATACAATACAATTAATTAATAATATATAAATATCGCTCGACCAGTCTAGATACGGGCGACGGTCGATTCACATTGATCGATAACGCCGATCACCAGAAAACCCGTAATTACGCACAAAAATATAAATTAATATAAAATATAAATCCTACATATTATACAATTTTGGATAATCAATAATATGATAAATATTAATTATAATTACCTTGATTATATTATTATACCATAAAATTACATATTATTTTAAATTTTATTATTCGTTTATCTGTTTATGATTATGATTCAATGAAAAACTGATAAGAATACAGAAACAAAATCAAACACTCCTATTGGTTGTTTGACAGATTAAAGATAGCGGAGGTCATATATTTTTAATTTTTGATTAACTTATTGACCGTTACGATTTTCAGACAGCATCTACGAATTCCGATGCACATTTTTATTTTCTTGGCTTCTTTTCTTAGTTCTTACTCCTTACGGTTTGTACCAAAAGTGATTTATAACTATTATTTGCAATACAATATTATTTAGTATTTATTAGTGTTAGGTTCCTCTACATTATTCAAATAGGCACATCATCAAAACTAGAAATTACAGTAGGTGGTAACAATAATTTATTAAGTTAGTTGATTATATTATATAAGTAACATTAATTTTTCAAACTAACATTTAATTTTTCTTAGGTAATATGTCTCAAACGTTTTTAAATAGTTTTAACAAACTTGAAGAGTATGAAAATGTACATGCTAAATGGTGTGCTGAATTAATAGCAAAAGGACGACAAACACTGCAATCAATATGTAATATTATTGATATAGATTTACTAAAAAAATTGATGGAAAGTTTTATGAAACTGTAACGGCAACGGTAGTAAATTAAACGGCAGTTCGTCCGCGGACACAAGCGTCGTGTCCGGCGGTAACGGCGAAACAGGACGAGGCTGAATTAATAGCAAAAGGACGACAAACACTGCAATCAATATGTAATATTATTGATATAGATTTACTAAAAAAATTGATGGAAAGTTTTATGAAACTGTAACGGCAACGGTAGTAAATTAAACGGCAGTTCGTCCGCGGACACAAGCGTCGTGTCCGGCGGTAACGGCGAAACAGGACGAGGCAGTCCAGTCGCCGAGCACAGTCGAGCCGCCGGGGCGTACCAGTGTTGCCACGGTGGCGCTAACACTCGACCGTCCTGACCGCTGGACCGTCCCCGGGCCAGACACCTCGTTAACATGAATATAAATATAAATAAAATAAATAATTAAACGAATATAAACTGTGGAGTAATCCTCGAGGTACTTCGGCGTTTGTCGAGTCCTCGTACTGCGCTTGGGACCCATCATGGTCTGCTCGGCCCTTCCTTCCCTGTTGTTGCCTGCGTGGATTTCGTCGTTTTTGGGTGGATTGGCAGTACCATTGACGTCTTCATCACTGTCGTCCTTGCCCTCATCACTGTCGTCCTCGCCCTCATCCCTCTTGCGGTCGTGGGAAATCTTCATTGCGCGATGGGCGTCGATAATATTCCGTCGTGCCTCCGTCTGAATTTCCTGTGGGTCCCGCCAGTTATTTCGAGTGAGGCTCAGCGTAGGTAGTATTCCCTTGTGAAAACGAGGTAGGTAACCGTGCAACGTCTCGTACGGTGTTTTTGTCGTTGACTTGTTCGGAGCCGTGTTCAACATATTCTCGACGTACCGTAGTTGCGTGTCCCAATTATTGTGTTCGGTGGCCGTGACACTAAGTAACGAGACAATTGTACGGTTGGCCCTCTCCACTTGCCCGTTAGCCTGCGGGTGTCGTGTGGAGTTCAGTGTATGACGTATTTCTCGATCGCTACAAAATTTTCCGAACGCGTTGGCCGTAAAACACGTACCTCGATCTGTAATAATTCGATCCGGTATCCCTCGTTCGGAACAGAACTTGTCTAAGACGCGTACTACTGCGGCGGCGTTGGTCGTCTTGCCTGCTTGTTTCCATTCTTGAAGTATTTCGGCTATCTTACGTCGGTCGGTCGGCGACGTTTTATAGGGTTTCATTCGGACGGGAACGCTATTGTCTGCTTCGACGATATCCATAGTCAGTAGATTCGTGCAGCCTATTTCTCTGATCGACTTTGCAAAGACATGACGGTAACGGTTGAGAAGTGACAGCAAAATTTTCCGGCCGTCGGCGTCCACTCCGGGATCAATGTTCACTTCGTCGCCGAAGATCGGGACCACGGGGAATTGTTGGTTTTCGCACTCCACCGCCAGCACTTGTGCATCGCCACAACACGTTTCGTCGGTCAATACTGTACCCTCGAGATGACAGTTTGTTTCTATTACTAGTTCATTCCCTTGTTTATAATAACCAACGTGGGGGAGCTCTAACCAGGTGCGTCCCACCAGTACATCCACAGGGATCGAGTTGTCGTCCACGATTTTCAAATCATGACTTTCGGCGGACACACCATCGATTGTCACGTTCGCTTGTGCCTCGCCCACCGCACAGGTACTAGGTTGGTTCACGCTGCCTACGGTGAAAAGCGGAATCGTCCGAGGCAGTACTGTTAAGCCACACTTTGTCGCGGCGGCTTGGCGTACTAATACAGCTGAACAGCCGGTATCGATCAAACCTGAGAGCTGGACGTTGTTCAACGAGACGGACTTCTCAAATGGGTTCGATCGTATAACGACGTGTGCCGCATTGACCTGATATGCTTGTCCGGATTCACCATTATTGGACTTATCCACCGTTGGTGCGGGACAGCCACTTCGTCGGTGTTGGTCCGAACCACACCCCGAGCACTTCATTGGACGTTGTGGACGCGGACAGTCACGCGATATGTGTCCTCTCCCACGACAATTGTAACAACTAATCGTCGACGTGGCTTCAGTGTCATTGGACGTCTTAGTGGAAGTTTTGAGACTCGTCGGGACATTCATAGGCGCTGCACTCGGTTTGTCGGCGTTACGCGGTACGGCGGCGTTTACGTAAGGTGCGGGTTGTTCAGTGTTAGTCCGATTTGTCGTCGCGGGCTGGAACAATTGTTGGCGCTTGGCACGCAGCTTCTCCCAGTCACGTAGATCGGACAACAATTCGTCAGTGTCGGCTTGTCTCCTGCTAGACACCCAATCTGCCTGTTGATGTGACCTAAGTCCTTCGAGGATATAGTCACGCGTTTCGGCGAAGCTCAGGCTTAATGAACGGCACAATCCGATTTTCGCGTAGTAATAGTCAATTGTGGGTTCGTTCATTGCCTGAATCCGTGCTTCAAGTTCCCTCCATAGGTCTGCCTTTCGTAGTGTACGCACGAACGTCCTACGGAATCTCTGTACAAAATAGTCCCAATCCTTAAATACTTCTAGTAAGAACCAACTACGAGCGGCTTCTGTCACATGCGCACGTACATACTGGAGTCGATACCTTAACGGCCAGTGGTTCACCTGTGCCAACCCATCGACGGAGCTGATCCAGTCATCCGCTTGTGCACTAGTCTCGTGACCGGTAAAAGTCCAAATAGACGTGCCGACATCTGGCAGGATGCGGTAGTCAACGGACGGTGTCATGACCGGAACATTTGACGTCGTCGAGGCGAGCGTTGGCAGGTTCGACGTCGGCGGTTGATTGTTCGAAGTCGCCGATGCTTCCAGTAGGCGCAATTTCTCTCGCAATTCGGTCACTGTGTTGTACAAATCGAGATAGTCCGGAGCCTTAGGTTCCGACTGATCTTTGTTGTCATCCATAATGTTTATGTTGTGATGATATGAAGATTGATAACGGTTATCCAATCATCGAACGACCACTGATAAGGTGCGATAGTACCGGTTACCAGGGTTGCGGTTACGTCACGTCGTCGACTCGAAGAGCGATATCAACGTAACCTCCAAATTCGAACTAACGTTAACGGCACGTTTTCGGAAACGAACTCACGACGCACACAGCGTTTTCGGAAACGAACTCACGACGCACACAGCGTTTTCGGAAACGAACTTACGACGCACACAGCGTTTTTCGAAACACAAACAGGATTTTCGGCGTAACGACGCAGACGGGAGGCGAATACGGAATTCAATCGGACTTTTTTTTTTCTTACGCACTCGAAACTAGGTAAAATTAAAAAAAAAAAGACCGTATCCCACTTCTGAAATGATAGAGAACGTTTTACTTTACTTATTAGGCCTATGTATTAATGGCGTCAGGATTAATAAACAGAAGACTGAATTGAATTGAACAATATGACGGTTTATTATATTTCAGGAAAAACACAGGCACACAGCAACGGTAGTAAATTAAACGGCAGTTCGTCCGCGGACACAAGCGTCGTGTCCGGCGGTAACGGCGAAACAGGACGAGGCAGTCCAGTCGCCGAGCACAGTCGAGCCGCCGGGGCGTACCAGTGTTGCCACGGTGGCGCTAACATTTGTTTCATTACTTGCTCAATGTCATCCTAATTCATTATCAGATGAAAAAATCTCATATAAACCAAGTGATGTATGTATATTAGTTGATAAATTATATTGAACTAGTATTTTGTTTTATCTACTTATATAATACAATTTTCAGCTAACTTCAAACCAACAAAATGAAAGCCAAGATTTATTACCAAAGAATGATATTATTAAGATGATGAATAGTGATCTCCAATGTCCAATTTGTAACGAATGGCTATTTAAAGTAATTTTGTTTTAATTTTTTATTATAATTTAAAAACTTAATTTTGTAACAACAATTGGGATACTGTAAGGTAGAAAAATACAGTTTTGGTTGTTCATTATGTTACCTACATTATTAACAGTAAACATTTATAGTTGTAATGTTCGTTCTAATACCAAATCTAACAATATCAATTCAAATATACTATGCTGTGCGTAGGTCAGAGAGAGGAAACAAATATTGTGCCCCTTAATAAACTAATAAAATACTAGTTGAATTACTCGTCACTGCTGGGTTATAAATTTATAATAAAAAAAAAAAAAGATTTTTGAATAATTATATAATATATAAATAAATATAAAAATATATAATATATTTTTATGATAATGCACCATTAATGTTAACGAAAAACATAAAATGGAAAGTACCTAATTAAATTCCATTAGTTTTATTAACATTTATAAATATATGCAAGACATTTCCGTACAAGAAAACTGCAATTATTTCACCAAAAACAAAAATAAATTGATAAAAAAAATTAAAATTTCAATGAACTTGTCTATTCTTATTTATTACTGTAGAATTTCTTTATAAACTATATGCATTGTATGTTTTTTGTTGTTTGGTATTATTCGTAATTTAAATTTTTCAAAAGATCTAATTCTGGACATGGCAACATAATGTTGACCATGTCTAAATACAGTTTGGGGTAAAGGTAAATACTACACTACTTTATCAAATGTTTGACCCTGTGCTTTGTTTATTTTCATAGCAAAATTCTTATAGGAAATTGATGTCTAATAAATGAAAAGGAAAGAGTAGAATCTGACTGGGTCAAATACTCAAATCAATTTTAGGCAATAAAATTTGTTGGCGAGTTCCTCGACCAGTTTTGGTTTCTAAGTCTAAAGAACGGTCGAACATATTTTGTATGACAAATCTTGTACCATTCATTAGATTGGACACTACATTTAAATTACTCAGTAGTATTATGATTGTTTATTCTTTCAGTTCCGAATTGGGAGGAGGTAAATTACTTAAATGTAAACTGTCTAAAAATTCTGTAGGAAATAGAAAATGGTCACAGTGGTTTGACACTGAGTTCAAACTTAAAAACGTTTTCTCTTGCCTTGCCAATATACTAACAATTGCATTATTTATTTCATCACAGTGATCATTTTTAGGTGCAAGAATAGCAAATTATGAAAAAATAGATAACATAAAATTAAAAACAATATTTCCAAATGAGTCTTTTATTATATCACTGGATAGTGGATAATAATGATTGTCTTGTTTTGATTAAATATTTGTTTGTGTCAAGATTTATTAGTGGGTATTCGCCACACAAAATAATATTGGAAATAGTGTTTTTACTATGGGTTGTTATTAGAAAATGCCGCAGGCGTCCACTACTACGACACAGCAGTACTGCTGTAGGCATAGGAGTAATAGGGGTTATAAAGGTGTGTGTGTGTGTGTGTGTGTGTGTGTGCTCATGGCAAGCAACGCGTGTCTCTATGTAATCACACAAAAAACTAAATGTTTCCAAAAACTATTTGGACATATTTTCAAACGGAAAATCATTAGATGACTCTTCTGCCCACTGAGTACTTGCGTTTGAAAAAAATCATGAAAATCAGCTCAGTAGAACTTCAGATATAGCTGTCCAAAGAAATTGTCTTGTATTTTAATAATATTATATAATGATAATTTAAATTATTTTAGGCAACTTCTGCAAATTGCAATCATACATTTTGTGAAACATGCATAAACAAATGGTTAAAAATAAATAAAACATGTCCAGTTTGCCATACATCTATTCAATATACTTCAACTTCTATAGCAGTAGACAATTTTATCACAAATTTGTGTCACTTATTTGGCGGTTTTACAAAGGAACGGCGAGAATCAATAATGAATGCTTATATAGGTATAATATAGTTATTATTTATGTATTTATTATATAGGTATTTTATTTTTAATAAATATATTTTTATTTTTATTTCAGATGATACGAAAAAAAAAACCAATGCTGATTTTACACTTAATGAACTCACTATTGATCCCATTATTGGTTTAAATATTAATCAGTCAATTGAAGAAGATACATTTATTATCCAAAACGACACTACTTTAACAATGTTACATCCCAATGAGGCCCGTTTAATACCTTGTCCTCGAACACCTATATCTAGAGAGAATTCAAGACAACCAATATTTAGCTCTAATAAACCTCATCCTAACATAGTTCCACTATTACCAGCTTTTCCTCAATCATCTGTAGCTTCTATAACTAGCCCACGTTCTAATCGCCTTCAACCAACATCTTCGACATCTGTAATTAGTCCACGTGTTAATCGTTTTCAACCAATTTCTCCAGTATCTGTGGTCAGTCCGCATATTAATCGTATTCATTCAACAACATCAACATCTGTTGCCAACTCAAATATTTATCGCCTTAGAACTAATACAAAAAGAGGCGGTTTACCATCCCATCAGACAAATCCTCCATGAAGAACACAAAATATCAGATATTATTAAAAATAACCTTAAATATTCATAAGCAAGTAGTCCAGATCATAAGTAGAAACCAAATTTATATTATCTTTTTAAACAATCATTAATCTATTAAAAAAAAAAAATTATTAAGTACGGATGGATTGTAGTTTCAAATTATTGAGGAAATTGTAATACATAATAAATATAAATATATATTTTTTTTATTAACTTTCAATTGTTTAATTTGTGTATAACTCAATTTTTTTATTACCTATTATTATTATTAAATATGTTGAGATAAAACGATGATCCATTGATCCCCTTACTCAGTTAGGAATCTTTCCTTGAATTGCTTTCACAGATCTGATTATTGTGACAATTCTTTGTCATCATATTTTTCTCAATTAAGTATAATAATATATTTATATATTGCAACATAACAAATATTTATGTGACATTTATTTTTAAGTTAATTTTGGTAAAACAATTATAATAAAAGTATTTTGAATAATAAATTCTGTACCACAGATGTCAAGTAATGATAGTCAATTTTTTGAAATATTTAGTAAGTTCTATAATCATAGTATAATTTTTGTGATCTTTATGAAGGTATTAAAATGTAAGTCCAACTTACAATAAATTCATAGATAGTAAGAGGTATACATAAGACTAAACCATATTGGGAGTATCGAGTATTCAAACGTATTTCCAGTGTGATGCATTAGAATAGACAATATTAATAGAAAATAATATCATTAAACTATTATAGCATACAATCATAAGTCCATTTGCTACAATACATTTTGTTGTGTCTCCTATAAAATTAGATTTTTGTGACTTGGTGTTACTTGACTGACTTCTGTGGTACAGAATTTATTTCGACTTATTATATTTTCAAAATATTTTATATTATTTTGAGGAAAAATTGTTCTCTTATATTAAATAAGTAAACAGGTAGCTCATTAAATATATTCCTTTTTATTCTTCTTAGGTATAATGATATATTGTCCAGGTGCTTAGATTATTGTTCACTTTAGATTCTGAGCGGAGCAAAAGAATGTACCTATTGATTCTACAATATGTTTTTTTTCACTGTCAGCAACATTTTGGACATTATTGAAAAAATTAATTTAGTTTTTTTGGTTAAACTCAAAAATGAATACCTTAATAAACCTTAGTAAACCTTTGAAATTTTCACCAAATATTTATATTAGCATTTTCAATGAATGGTAAGAATTTCGAAATATTTTGACTCTTTTTGAGCTATTTATAGCCTTGAAAATGTTTAGAAATTCGTAAAATACAATTTAAATTATTCTCCATAAAAACTTTTTTACTCGGTAAAAAAGCTTGAAAATGTAATACAAGGTTCCTTATAAGTTTAAAATAAAATTCAAAAATGTTCAAGGTACATAGGCTCGATTATTTTTATATGAATTTAAACTTTGTCAAAATGTCAGTAGTGGAAAAAAAATAAGCCCTGGATCCGCCACTGCAAAATGTCGTTTTCAGTTAGAAATTCATAAAAGTTTTTCCTTTCATAACTAACATTAGACATTTTAATGGAAGACTGCCCACAAATGTTCTTACCTTAAAAAAAAAAAAAGGTGCTCTGCTGTACAGTAGGTTACAAGTGGGTGAGTGGGTCTCTGTATAATGGATCGAGTTTGGCGACCGGAGCCGGCAGGCATAGGGAGCTTCTATAGACTTCTGTTAGGTACTCTAATTGGCGACCGGAGCCGATAGGCGAAGGGAGTCACTATATACTTATGCAAACAGGTCAAGGAGTGAAAACACAAATTAACTATGCATACTGACTCGTAACTTTTAATATAAAAATATCGTCGTCCTCCGCGGAGCATTATAGTAGTGTTGCGCGCATGCGTATAAACGTAAAATCGCAAACTTTGGAAGGCTGTAACTTCCAAAATAATCATTTCCGCAAACTAATTTTTACACCATCGTTTTAAACTCGTCGAAATACATAGGTTTCCGAAAAAAAAATCGAAAAATTCGAGTGGGCGCTAAACTAGAATTGTTCCAATATACCTACATTATATAAATCTGTACATTTTGATTTGTTATTGTTTATTATTTTTAACACGTTCAATGCAATTTTAAACTGGTATTTGACATAGGAAAAGTACCTCGGGTCGCCTTTGTTGACCGTACGTAATTTTGGATGGCGACGCGGGCTCTGCGCCGAAAACACTAACAGAGCTCCACTTGTAAACCAATTTCTCCCAAACCAAAAAATATAAGTTGGTTCTGATTTCACCAAAAACTTATTTATGTTATTACTCATCGAATGAAAAAAAAATAGTAAAAAAAAATCAATTTTGAGTTTCTCAAATATGCAAATGTTTGAAATAACTTTAAAATTCAGTTTTATGTGGTTTATTAACAATAACATAAAAAGTAAGTACGATAGGCAAATTCTGATTCCACCAAAATGTTGAGCATATAAATACAAACATTTCTAAAAAAAAAAAATTCTAAAAACTTAAATTTTTGGTATCTTAAATTCAAAAACACGATTTTTGAAAAAATTGAACATTTTGAAGTTTTTTTACCATAACTTCCAAAATAAGTTCGACCGGCCTTTTTTGAAAGTACCATCAAATTAGGCATGCAAAAACACACATTTTGAAAAAAAAAAATTCCAAAAAATCGCTTGGGAGCTAAACTGCATTCGTTCCACAACTTTATATTTTCAGAAAATTATATTTCTCCAACGATGAGTTTGAAGAAAATTAACAGACAAATAAAGGATTTGGAAGGTGCATCAGCCTGGCACCCCGAAATTGAAATTTCGTACTTTTTTTTTTTAAATAATTAGTAACCAATTTGTAACAATTTGTAACGCAAGATTTGGAATTTGTAACACAAAATTTCACCCTTAAATCGACGTTCCAGTGTTAGGGGTGCTAAGCTGACGTCAGCCCAGCGCCCGAAATTGAAATTTCACACTTTTTTTTGTTTAGAAAATTAGTAAACAATTTGTAACAATTTGTAACGCAAGATTTGGAATTTGTAACACAAAATTTCACCCTTAAATCGACGTTCCAGTGTTAGGGGTGCTAAGCTGACGTCAGCCCAGCGCCCGAAATTGAAATTTCACACTTTTTTTTGTTTAGAAAATTAGTAAACAATTTGTAACAATTTGTAACGCAAGATTTGGAATTTGTAACACAAAATTTCACCCTTAAATCGACGTTCCAGTGTTAGGGGTGCTAAGCTGACGTCAGCCCAGCGCCCGAAATTGAAATTTCACACTTTTTTTTGTTTAGAAAATTAGTAAACAATTTGTAACAATTTGTAACGCAAGATTTGGAATTTGTAACACAAAATTTCACCCTTAAACCGACGTTCCAGTGTTAGGGGTGCTGAGCTGACGTCGTTAAAAGTCAAATTTCACACTTTCTTTTGTTTAGAAAATTAGTAAACAATTTGTAATAATTTGAAACGCAAGATTTGGAATTTGTAAAATAAATTGCATCCCTTGAATTGACGGTCCAGTGTTAGGGGTGTTGGGTTGACTCCGAAAGTTAAATTTCATACTTTTACACTGAAGATTTATTCCATGGTATTGTTTTGCGAAAAGTGGAATTTCCTACCTAAAAGTAAAATTATGTAATTATTTCTTAATTATTTTTTAATTTGTGTTGTATTTTACTATATTTATAAAAATAGAGATAACCTATGTTACTTTTGATATAATATTATATATTATTATTATTATTATTATATAATATATTATTTATAGATTTTGAACGATCAGTTGACTATGCTGGGTTGGTTATCTGGAAACTTGATGACGTTCCAAAACTATTAAAAATTCAAGGTATAACATTTTATTTACGTGGCATAGTGGCTTTTAATGATTCAAACAAATTCAACCTAAGAAATCCGGTTGGTCATTACATTACATACTACTACAGATCAAATAGGACATGGGAGTGTTATGATGATACCAAAGAGAAAATGAAAATATGTAAACCAAACACCATGGTAAACATAGAACTTTTATTTTATACATTGTAAACTAATTTATATTTAAGTTCAATATGTTGTATTTCTTTATTTTTTTTAAGTATAATATTTCATAATATTGTACAAATGATGTTGACACTTTAACAGTAACGTAAAATATTGTAATATAATATATAATATATATAAAATAGTGTTAAAATGTATTTTAAATCATCCATTGAGGAAAACTGGCCCGATTTGGCTCATTCTTTTTTTGTTGTGTTTGTAATTGTCAGGACATGGTTCTTATGAAAGAAAATTTTAGGAAAATCCGCCGGAAAAACAGGAAACGTCAAATATACAACAGTGGCGTCATTTGTCCAAAAGAAAATAAACTAAATAATAAAAATATTAAAAGTGGCATTCGGGGACTGCCGCGATAAAGCTATTGCATATTAAATAAATAAGAAGTTGATATAATTTTAAATTTTTTATTATTCTATTTATTTAGGAATTTGTATCATAGAAACTATAGTTTATGTTTTTATTGCTATAATATATTATATTTTATATATATTATTATAAATATATAAAATTAATAATATATTATTATATATTATATATTTATATATATAAATTTATTGCTATAGCAACCCATAACAAAACCATTATATTTATAAGCGCTTGATGTTCATAGTCGTTGTTATTTAAAAATAAATATCTGTTATCAAAATTAAATTATAATTTAGCTATGCGTTGCTATGGTCACCAGGTTGCTATAGTATGTATAAATAAACAAAGTGGTCACGCTTTTTCGTTACGAAAAATTTTTTTTCAGTCACTACACCAGACCTGCGATAAAAGCTATGCAATAGCTTAAAAAATTGTTTATTATTGCAGATTAAAATAATAATAGTGTATTATATATTGGTTAATCGGGCATGTTGATTTGTATAATTGTATTATTATTTTTTGTCAATATAATATATTATAATATATTAAATATATATAAATATATAAATTAATGTTTGTGTGTAGAAGAT